AATAATATTCGTTAAGTTAAAAAGTAAAAATGTTAAGACCATTCTCAAAAAGTAAAATGGCCAAACCTGCCTGATATTCCCCCATCGGAAAACTTAAAAGTTGTTTAAAAAGCAAACCTTGCTGCTCCGGTAGCTGTATACAGGCCTTCCACAGCAGTAATCCAGTCTGTTTAGACTGGGATTCAGCAGGCTGGTAAAGGTGGAATTTTAGGGGGATAGCAGTTTCCTGTTATAATGCATCCTCAAAATGAGCAGAGAGAGTTTCAGGTAACATTGAAGCCTTTTCCATATAAATCCATTTAAATATCTAAAGAAGTTTAAACAAGCAATCAATAATGCTAATACAAAATGTCAGGCTGCTAAACAACCTTTTAAAGGGATAGCTCATTTAATGGACTATATTAAGGCTTGTGATGGCAATGGAGGAAATTTACATAAGGCTACATTATTAGTGCAAATTATGGCAGGATTCAGGGTAAACAAAGGGACTGCTGCATTTTCCGGAGCTTGTTTTAATTGTGGAAAAAGGGAACACATGCAAAGGATTGCAGATAAAATCTAAGAACAGGACATCAGCTGAGGGTAACAACAAAAAATACTAAACCAGGCATTTGCCCTAAATGTAAAAATAAATAAATAAAAAAAAATAACTGGGCTAATCAATGTCATTCAAAATTTAATAAGGAAAGGAACCCGACTCCAACCAGGGCCTATCCTGCTCCAGTTACTCTCTCATCTCTGTACAATGCTTGTGTCCTGCCACCATTAAAAGCACAGCAGTAAATCTGTATAGCACTCAAAAAGTAAGTATTTTGTCTGGGGAGCCTCCACAAAAAATACCAACAGGAATTTGTAAGCCATTACCTACAGAAACAGTGGTTTTGCTTTTAGGAAAATCTAGCCTTAATACTTAAGGGATAAAATTTCATACAGAAGTTATTAATAGTAATTTTACAGAGGAAATACAAATTGTAATGTCAGCTTCCATTCCTTGCAGTGCTAAACCTGAAAAAAGCATAGCACAACTCTTAATTTTACCTTACATCAAATTAGGTCAAAGCAAAGATAAAAGGATTGGAAGATTTGGAAGTACAAATAAGCAGGGCAAAGCTGCCTATTGGATATATCAAATTACAAATAAACACCCAACATGTAAAGTCACTATACATAGAAAAAAAAATTTAAAGGTTTAGTTAATACTAGCACAAATGTTTCAATTATTTCTATTCAGCACTGACCCTCTTCTTGGCCTGTATAAAATGCTCACTCTAATATAGTCAGAGTGGGGCAGGCCTCAGAAGTTTATCAAAACAGTCTTATCTTACCATGTAAAGGGCCTGAAGGACAGCCTGGACCTATTCAGCCTATTGTGACTCAGATTCCTATTAAGTTGTGGGGAAGAAACTTATTACAGCAGTGGGGAACCAAAGTCTTAATACCTGAACAATCATATAGCTCCCAAAATCAACAAATAATGCAGGACATGGGCTATGTGCCTGGAATGGGAATAGAAAAAATTTATATGGCTTTAAAGAATCTTTAGAAGTTAAGGGACAAAGTTCTCAACATGGTTTAGAAAATCATTTTTAGGCCGGGCGCGGTGGCTCAAGCCTGTAATCCCAGCACTTTGGGAGGCCGAGGCGGGTGGATCACGAGGTCAAGAGATCGAGACCATCCTGGTCAACATGGTGAAACCCCGTCTCTACTAAAAATACAAAAAATCAGCTGGGCATGGTGGCGCGTGCCTGTAATCCCAGCTACTCAGGAGGCTGAGGCAGGAGAATTGCCTGAACCCAGGAGGCGGAGGTTGCGGTGAGCCGAGATCACGCCATTGCACTCCAACCTGGGTAACATGAGTGAAACTCCGTCTCAAAAAAAAAAAAAAAAAAAAAGAAAATCATTTTTAATTACAGCCATTGTTAAACCTCCAAAACCAATAGCTTGAAAATGGTTAAATAATAAACCAATTTTGATAGAACAATGGCCACTTACAAAGGAAAAACTGGAGATTTTAAAAAACATAGTTGCTAAACAATTAGAAAAAGGGCATATAGTTCCCACATTTTCACCTTAAAACTCTCCTATTTTTATAATAAAAAAGAAATCCAAAAAATAAAAAATGTCAACAGATCTTAGAGCAATTAATGCAGCTATGCTACTTTGACCCACTATGATTCCAAAAAACTGTCTACTATTATTGATTTGAAGGACAGTTTTTTTTTTTTTTTTATGATTCCTTTGGCAAAAAGAACTGTAAGCAATTTGTGTTCACTATTCCTTTTACAACTAATCAAAAACCTGCCAAAACATATTATTGAAAAGTGCTTCCCCAAGGGATGTTAAACAGTCCCACAATTTGTCAAACTTACATGGACAAAGCTATTCAGCCCACCAGAAAAAAATTTCCTCAGTATTATATTATTCATTATATAACATCCTTTGTACTGCACCAAATAAAGAATTACATATACAGTGCTATAACCATTTTAAAAAAGAAATCCATTCAATGTACTGGGTCAATAATAGCTCCAGATAAAATTGAAACTACAACTCCTTATTTGTATTTGGGCACATTGGTAAAAAATACCGCTATACCACCTCAAAAGGTGTCCATCGGAAGGGATAATTTAAAAACTCTAAATAATTTCCAGAAGTTATTTGGAAATATCTATTAGATAAGACCTACTTTAGCCATTCCAACTTATGCTATGAGTAATTTTTTTTCTATTCTTTGAGAAGATTCCAGTCTACATAGTCCTCAAGAGTTAACTTAGAAAGCTAAAATGGAATTGCAAACCTTAAGAAAAAAATTCATAAGGCTCAAGTAAATAAAATTAATCATAACAGGCCTTTAACATTATTAATTTTCCCTATTCAATACTCTCTTACACTCTCTTAATAATAATCTCTTAGGAGTTATTATTAAAAATCAGGACTTAGCGGAGTGGCTGTTTTTACTTCATAATAGCACTCACACTCTTACTCTATATTTGGACCAAACTGCAACTTTGATTGGAATGGGGATGTCTCAAGTTGTAAAAGTGCATGGATTTAATCCCATAAGAATAATAGTGCCTCTTACAAAAATTCAAATTCAGCAACCCTATATTAATAGTGTAACATGGCAAACCTATTTGCCAAATTTTGTGGGCACTTTAGATAAACATTATCCAAAAAACAAAAATTTTTCAATTTTTCAAATTAACCAATTGGATTTTACCCAAAATTTCTAAGTCAAATCTCATTGACAATGCAGAAAATGTTAAAATCTAGTAACAGTAAAGCTTCTTATTCAGGATCTAAAAGCAAAGTTATTCAAACTCCTTATACACAATTGGGACTGGAAGAGGAGCCAGGGAATGATGTGGCCAGAATGGACAACTGGACCTTTGAATCTAGGCCATACATAGGCAGACTAATAAATCTGAGATAAGACTTTTTAAAGCTGAGCCCAGCCATGGTTCTCTCCCCTCAAATAACTATGTGAGTTGCATAAATTTCTCTTTTGAGGTCACAGGATAACTTGGGTCTCATAAGCCTGTCAGGAAGTGACATTATTTACTTACCACAGGTTAGGAACCCTGTACAGGGAATGTGTAGACAAGGTATGAAGCCAGTTTTCCCAAAGGGCTTTTATTGACTCTACACCAAGTTTGATTCCTTAGGGGAAAGCATGCCATTCCAGTCAAAGCCTTGACAAAATAACTAATTTCTCCAATCGTGTCCTGTTGCAGAAGGAAACATTCTTTTGCACTTATGCAAATTATATTGTAACTTAAGAATACTCACAAATAGATTCCCAATTCTGGAGAAAACAGGTAGAAACAAATATGCTCCTAATTTTGTTTACTCAATTGGAGTATTTTTTACTCAATTGCTAAAAGCTGTAAATACCTCAAAATAAGTTTCCTGAACTCTGAAAAACAAACAAAGGATCGGTGATATTTTAAGCAAAGTCAAAAAGATGACTTCAGTTTTTATATTAGTTCAATCCATGCAGTTATCGCCTGTTCTGCTTGATATTCATGAACATGTCAGCTCTCCATGAGAGTCTGAAAGTTTTTTCTTTATGCTAATGAGAAAATTTCCAAAGTTATCAAAAACCTGCATTTAAGAGCACTTGTCAATGTCCTATAGCCGATTATAAATCACCTTTCAAAGAGGATTAAAACAAGACAACAAATGTCTGTGGATGACAAAGATGTCTTAGGACAGCCACTATGACAGCCACAATTGACAGGGATATTTTGGTTACTTCTGTTGCATACAACAATTTGACATAACAATTATTACTATCAATAATATACACTAAGTCATATCAGAATGATAGGAGTTTTCCATTATTTTGAAACACACACCAATAACATACTTATGCAAATACAGCCCAAGGAAAACAAAACACCATTTCACATTTGTCAATGCTTTCCTTTTTTTCCTGAGATAGGGTTTTGTTCTTGTTGCTCAAACTGGACTGCAATGCTGCAATATCTACTCACTGAAACCTTCACCTCCTGGGTTCAAGTGATTCTCCGGCCTCAGCCTCCTTAGTAGCTGGGATTACAGGTGGTTGCCATGACAACCAGCTAATTTTTTTGTATTTTTAGTAGAGACGGGGTTTCACCATGTTGGCCAAACTGATCTCTAACTCCTGACATCAGGTGATTGACCCTCCCTGGCCTCCCAAAGTGGTGAGATTACAGATGGGAGCCACTGCATCTGGCCTAACAATGCTTTCTGACAATTCTTCCTGTATGGTTTTTATATCAAATAAGCCAAATGTCATTTTTGTACTTTAGGGGATGTAATATCTAAAAGATAATGGATGTAAGAAAAACACATAATTTATAATTTGATTTTTAAGAGTTTGTCAGATATCAAATCTCAGGTTATCATAAGTCACTCATTAACCAAAGTCGTAACTCAAAAATTGTAAAAAGGCAAAAACCTTTACTCATTAATAAAGGAGTGACTTCACTTTCCAAATAATATTTTTTTTCCTTCCTGTTGCTCCAGTTTATTCAAAAGGGCAGACAAAAATCTTTCATTTTTAAAATAATATGTGAAAATCTTGTTCACAGGGAAAAGCTAAATCTCGCCCTTGTATTAGCGCACTATTCATAGCAAACCTAATTGTTTTTTTTTTTTTTTTTTTTTTTTTTTTTGAGAAGGAGTTTCGCTCTTGTTACCCAGGCTGGAGTGCAATGGCGCGATCTCGGCTCACCGCAACCTCTGCCTCCTGGGTTCAGGCAATTCTCCTGCCTCAGCCTCCTGAGTAGCTGGGATTACAGGCACGTGCCACCATGCCCAGCTGATTTTTTGTATTTTTAGTAGAGACGGGGTTTCACCATGTTGACCAGGATGGTCTCGATCTCTTGACCTCGTGATCCACCCGCCTCGGCCTCCCAAAGTGCTGGGATTACAGGCTTGAGCCACCGCGCCCGGCCGAAAACCTAATTGTTAATAAAATCTTATAGATAAATCTATCTAGTCTTAATCAGTTTGACCATAATTTAAGATTCCTATAATCCTTTCATAATACTCTACAATTTTTGTGAAAGAGCAGATCAGTGTTCTAAGGAAAACCAGTTGTGTTTTGATTCCAGTGTTCAATTTATTAAAAAATTGAATATCCCTTTAGCTTTGGCCAATATGTTAACACACAGAATTTCTTTTACAAGATTTAATTTTTTACAAACCTTTCACAACTTGCTTAAACCTTCAGCTCTATTTTGTCTAACTTTAAAACAATCCTTTAACCCTTTAATTTAGGCCAAAACTAATCCACATTCCCATGACTTCTTGTAATCTTTTATTAAAAACCATTTTACTTTTTTTACATACCTAGCATGTAAAACTGTTTTTATTTCCCAAATATTACTAGTCATATAAACTAAAACACACCATGGTTTCTATTTTTCTGATAAAATATTTGATTTATGCACTTATTAGTTTTAAACCAATTAATCAAACTCTTTCATATTGCATACACAACACATACAAATATGCAGATGGAAGAAGATCAAGTATCTGTAAGATTTTTCATTTGTCAGTTTCTTAATTGGATTACCAACCTGGCTTCAAGGTGATTCCCTAGGAGGAACAGGGGCCCAGGAAAACAAAAACCAAGCAATGTCTACATCCTAGTAAGCAGGCACAGCTGGAAGCAAAACAAATCCCCCCCAGATTATGACTCCTATTTTTATACTAGAACCTGAATCCCAAAAAGAGGGATTCAGCCCATCTCCCATTAGTGTCTTATCTCTCAGTGAGGGGAGGGAACATTTCCATACCTTCTAAATGACCAAGAGCACACTTCTCTGATTCAAGTGTGCAAAAAGCTGAATATTGCCCGATAACTGCCACTAGCCATCCCTAAATGTATATTTCCCACCTAGTTATTACATATCTAAGTTATCTCATAATGTGAAGTAATTTCTGATACCCTGGAAAGTAAAGACCATCAGATAACGCAATGCAAAATGGAACAGAACCTTAGACTTTGAGAAGGATCTAACCACTTCCAATTCCTGGGGTTTCATGAGGAAAACAGACGTTTTTCCCAAAATGCCTATTTTGGCACCTCCTCTGTTGTTTTTCCAAGAAACTCCAGGCTGTTAGAGCTTGAATATCTGCAATTAATTAAGCTGACTTTTTGGCCAGGTGTGGTGGCTCACACCTGTAATCCCAGCACTTTGGGAAGCCAAGGTGGGTGGATCACTTGAGGTCAGGAGTTCAAGACCAGCCTGGCCAACATGGTGAAACCCCGTCTCTACTAAAAATACAAAAATTAGCTAGGTGTGGTAGTGGATGCCTGTAATACCAGCTACTCAGGAGGCTCAGGCAGAAGAATTGCTTGATCTCGGGAGGCAGAGGTTGCAGTCAGCCAAGACTGTGCCACTGCACTCCAGTCTGAGTGACAGAGTGAGACTCTGTTTCAAAATAAATAAATAAATAAGCTTTTAACCATAATATATATATTTTTAAATTATTTAATTCTCTTATTACTTGATTTTAGCCATGCAAAACTGCCAATATGTCTGACTTTTGAACTTTGCTAACATAACCTCCCAGGTGAAATCAATAAGCTTTTTTTTTTTCAAGATGGAATCTTCCTCTTTTGCCCAGGTTAGAGTGCAGTCACCAAACTCGGCTCGCTGCAGCCTCCATCTCCTGAAACCAATAAGCTTCAACTAAGGTTATGAACCTAAGTACAAGTGTACAAGGTATTTTCAAAAAAGGTGCAAGCAGTTTTTATAAAATCTAGAAACTTCAAAGGTAGCTCAGAGAAAGAAAAATTCAAGATGGTTTGTGGAGGGGAAGAGAATCAACAAATGTTCATGCAGATATCAAATCAGAAAGGACTCATTTCCTAAGCCAGAAATTGAACCCTGAACATGGGCTGCCACTGGAAGAGAGTAAAGCCCAGCTATTGAGCTACAGCACCGAGCAGTCTCCACTGGAGTCTCCCAGAAGAAGCTGAAAGCAGCCAATTTTGAGCTTGCAAAGGTTTTTAACTGCTCAAGATCATTTTTAGAGTTAACTATAACATATATTTCAAAATTTCTGTATGCTGAATGGTAGAAACCAAGAGAAAATAATGTCACATGGCTACAAGATCTAGCTCCTAAGAACATAAAACAAGAGGGAAACTTCATCCATTTTGTTGTTGTTGTCATTTGTTTCAGGGACTTCTTTTTTGTTTCTTTGTTTTTTTGTCTTTCGGAGACAGAGTCTCGCTCTGTCGCTCAAGCTGGAGTGCAGTGGCATGATCTCATCTCGCTGTAACCTCTGCCTCCCAGGTTCAAGCAATTCTCCCTGCCTCAGCCTTCTAAGTAGCTGGGACTACAGGCACCCACCACCAGCCTGGCTAATTTTTGTATTTTTTGTAGAGATGAGGTTTCACCATGTTGGCCGGGCTGGTCTTGAACATCTGACCTCAGGTGATCTGCCTACCTTGGCCTCTCAAAGTGCTGGGATTACAGGTGTGAGTCACCATGCCTGGACTGTTTCAGGGACTTCCAACCAGAAGTTTCAACATGTGGACTCTGGGCAAGATAGTGGCCCAGAGTAACAGAAATGATAGGAAATAGAAAGGGAAAGAGAAAGGGAAAGGGAAAGGGTCAGGCATGGTGGCTCATACCTGTCATCCCAGCACTTTGCGAGGCCAAGGGAGGTGAGTCAGCTGAGGTCAGGAGTTTGAGACCAGCCTGGCCAACTTGGTAAAATCCTGTCTCTACTAAGAATACAAAGATTAGCTGCGCCTGGTGGAGTTCACCTGTACCTGGGAGGCTGAGGCAGGAGAATTGCTCGAACTTGGGAGGCAGAGGTTGCAGTGAGCCACCACCCCTGGCCCTAAATTCTTTTTCATATGAGATCCAAGAACCCACTCTCCAATTCTAGATTGGGACCCTTTCCCTAAAAAGACCGTGGAGGGAATACTTAACTGTTCCAAATCTAACTGACACTATTTATTCAGGAAATAAACAAAAAGAGCTGAAAGAACTTTCAACCTGTGTGTTAAGTACCCTCTAATAATAAAATAGGTTAGCTTTAGCCATTCGTTAAAAATAAGACTTCTGTACTAAACAATAACATCTGTAACCTTTCAGAAGGAGCTTATTGAACCTTCCTCATGACAAGAAACTGGAGCACTACAAAGAGGTTTTGCAACTTGGGGTGAATGACAGTATGTTTCAGTAATGCTTCATCTAGGCAAGAGTAAACAATCAAATCTCTTCCCAAGGTTAGATTTATTTATATAAAATAATATAAAATGTGGAAATGGACAAAAAGAAGTAATTAGAATAATTTTTCTTTTACCTCTGTGTTTCTAACTTTACAATGGTCATAAAAATCCCTTCATTTCAGACACTGAGCTATGATATGGACACAATATTTGCATTTCAACAAGTGTATTTCTAGCAAAGTATTAATATAAAATATAATCCAAAGCCAATTATGGTTATCCTTTCATTATCTTCAGAGTTTGATTTTGATGTACATTTCATGAAATGCTCTTTTTTCTTTTGTTTTGAGATGGAGTCTCGATTTTTCCACCTTCAGGGTTCAAGTGATTCTCCTGCCTCAGCTTCCTGAGTAGCTGGGGTTACAAGTGTCCGCCAGCACTCCCAACTAATTTTTGTATTTTTAGTAGAGATGGGGTTTCATCATGTTAGCCAGACTGATCTCAAACTCCTGACATCAGGTGATCTGCCTGCCTCTGCCTCCCAAAGTTCTGGGATTACAAGGGAAAGCCTCCATGACCTGCTAAAATGCTCATTTACATGGAACTGACTTGAGAAATATAGAGTTGTGAATAACATGTGTTGCGGGAAGCAGCAAAGGAGAAAGAACTTAGAGTGCCTATGAAAATTGGTTATGAGTAACATATAAACTGGGAACACCAAGCCACAGTACTGCGGGAGGCCTCTGAGGAGGCAAACTTCTCCATGCTTCATGTTCACATGCAGGGTGAGCTAGCCTCTGTTACCATAAACATTGTGCTCAAGAATGTAAAACCCCTTCATAGTGTGACATGGTAAAAGCCCCATAAAACTGCATACCTCAACCATACCTCGGCTCTCTGTTGAAACTGTTCTCTGTAGCCCTGATGTGACAGGCAAGCAGTCTAAACCCATGCCATCTTGGCCCCTGCAACTTGTAATAAGTAACTAAGGTCTGTAATTTCCACCCATACCCAGACAATGTGTAAACTAATGCTTATCTTGACTTCTGTAAGCCACTTAAGTAACAATCGGAATATCCAAAGTCCTCTGGCCCTCAGAATGTCTGGAGCCCGCTCACCCTCATCTCTGCCCAGGAGGTGATTTATAGAATCCACTGGCCCTCAGAATGTCTGAAGCCCCTCACCCCCACCCCTCACCCTCACCCCCAAGTGGTTTACAGGCATAAAAGGTCTTGACATCCTCCTTTCAGGGCCATGGGTTGGAGAGATGCAAGTCCTCCGTGGCTGCCGGCAATAAAGACCCTGCAATTTGGCATACTTTTGTCTTAGTGTTGACTTTCTATGCTCGGGCCAGTACAACAATAGCACTAAAACGTAACCGGATTTGTAGGCTCCTTGTGAGGCCCACGTTCCACCAGCTGCCCATAGATCATAGGCTATAGATAACCACATGTTCTTGTTTTGTGAAACTCCCAAACTGCCACTGTTACAAATCTTCAGAATGACACACCAGTTCTGGCTCACTGATTCACCCCACCATCACATCACCCTTTCCTCACCATCACCCTACCACCTGCCCTATAGATCAAAGTGACTGTAACCAATAAATAATGCGGAAGATCAGAGCTCAGGGTCTTTGCACCCTCCTTTATGCACTGGCCCCCTGGTCCCACTTCATGCATTCTTAACCTGTCTTTTTCTCATTCCTTTGTCATGACCACAAAACGCAGGTACCCACCGGTGGTATGTGGGGTCTTCTTACTTTTGTTTAACTCCATGCAATATTTGTTTGTAATGTGATGGAAATGACTGTATGGTAAATCATGCTCTAGGTTGACTGGAAATGTATACTGTGTTATTAGAAAACAAAACTCTGGTTTTGCCATCACATTTTTTGACAGAGTCATCCTGGGTGTTGAAGACCTATTATAATATATTCTTCCTAACTATAATTATTTATGTAGAATATCATTGTTACAACCTAAAGTGAATGGTTTCTTTACAGAATTATCTCCCATATTCAGCAATTCCCAACTGATCACCAAATGCCATGTTTTATATGGTAAAAGCCATCTGTTCAAATAAGAACAATAAAACAAAAAACTATCTGATCTAGGTAAACAGAGCATCTTCATCACAAGAACATCATCTATTGTCAGCATCATTTCAATTCTTTAGTTTACTGGATAAACACCATGTCTAATCCTATGTATAATCCAAATTTTGGAATTCTGATAATTTTAATATCTTTTTTAATAGAATATGAGAGTATTGCATATAATAAGGATAAGTGGTTTAATGTTATATGTACACATACATATGTATATCAAAATATAAATATATTTAATTGATGTATTTTAAAAATACTCGGCCGGGCGCGGTGGCTCACGCCTGTAATCCCAGTACTTTGGGAGGCCGAGGCGGGTGGATTACGAGGTCAGGAGATCGAGACCATCCTGCTCAACATGGTGAAACCCCGTCTCTACTAAAAATACAAAAAATCAGCTGGGCATGGTGGCGCGTGCCTGTAATCCCAGCTACTCAGGAGGCTGAGGCAGGAGAATTGCCTGAACCCAGGACGCGGAGGTTGCGGTGAGCCGAGATCGCGCCATTGCACTCCAGCCTGGGTAAGAAGAGTGAAACTCCGTAAAAAAAAAAAAAA